TAGGGCTTAGGGTTTTTTTGTGTTTTTAGGGTTTAACATATACGATTTAGGGCTTTATAGGGTTTAGATCTTAGTGTTTTTTAGGTTTAGGGGTTTTGGATTTCTTTGGATGTTTTAGGGTTTTTGAGGGTTAAGTGTTTCTTAGGGTTTTTTTAGGGTTTAAGGTTTAGGGCTTAGTTTTTTTTTTTGGGGTTTTTAGGTATAGGGTTTACATATTTTTAAGAATTAGGATTTAGAGCTTAGGGTATTGTAGGAGTTTTAAATGGTTTTAGGGTTTATTTTTGGGTTTATAGGATTTAGAGTTTCTTAATGTTTAGGTTTTACGGTTTCTTAGTGTTTTAGGTTTATGATTTAGGGTTTCAGGTTAGGGTTTACGGTTTAGGGCTTAGGGATTTTTTATGCTTAAGGTTTTAGGTTAAGATCTAGATTTTTAGGGTTTAGGGCTTTGGGTTATTTATCTTAAGGTTTTTTTTTAGGGTTTTATAGGTTTAGAGCTTAGGGATTAGGGTCTTTTTGTGTTTCTTAGGATTTGGCCTATATGATTTAGGGCTTTATAGGGTTTAGAGCTTGGAATTTTTTGGTTTAGGGAATTATGGGTTTTTTTAGGGTGTGTAGGTTAAGTGTTTCTTAGGGTTTATTGAATTTAGGTCTTCAAGTTTTTTTTAGTATTTTTTAGGTTTTAGGGTTTACGGATTTTTAGGATATAGGATTTATACTTAGAATTTTTGTAGGGGTTTTAAATGGATTTTAGGGTTCCTTTTAGGTTTTATAGGATTTGGGTTTCTTAGGCTTTTAGGTTTGGATAGGGTTTTGGGTTTGGTATTTTGGGTTTTTTAGGGGTTTTATAGGTTTTATGGCCTAGGGGTTTTCTTGGATATTTTAGGGTTTAGCATATACGATTTAGGGCTTAATATGGTTTAGGCTTTGAGTTTTTTTAGGTTTTAGGGGTTTTAGTGGTTTTAGGGTGTTTAGGGGTTAAGTGTTTTCTTAGGGTTTTTCAGAGTTTAGGGCTTAGGGTTTTTTTGTGTGTTTTTAGGTCTAGGGTTTACAGATTTTAGAATTTAGTGTCTAGAGCTTAGAATTTTGTAGGTCTTTTGATTGATTTTAAGGTTTATTTTAGGTTATATAGGATTTAGGGTTCTTAAGGTTTAGGGTTTAGGGTTTCTTATGTTTTAGGTTTTAGGATAAAGGTTTGGGTTTTTTAGGTTTAGGGTTTTATTGGTTTAGGTTTTTAGGGCTTAGGGTTTTTCTTGGATTCTTTAGGGTTTAGCATATACAATTTAGGGCTTAATAGGGTTTAAAGCTTAGAATTTTTTTTAGGTTGAGGGGTTTTTGGGTTTTTTGAGGGTTAAGTTTTTCTTACGGTTTTTTTAGTGTTTAAGGTTTAGGGCCTAGGTTTTTTTTGTATTTTTTAGATTTAGGGGTTTATGGATTTTTAGGATTTAAGGTTTAGAAGCTTAGGGTTTTTCTAGGGGTTTTAAATTGGTTTTTAGGGTTTTTTAGGGATTATAGGATTTTGGGTTTCTAAAAGTTTAAGGTTTAGCGGTTCTTAGGGTTTTTGGGTTTAGAATTCTGGGTTTGGGTTAGGGTTTAGGGTTTAAGGCTTAGGGTTTTTTTGTAAGTTTAGGGATTTAGGTTAACGAGTTTATCTAGGTTTTTAGGGTTTTTAAATTTTACGTTTTTTCAGGATTCTATAGGTTTAGAGTTTAGGGCTTAGGTTTTTTTTTGTTTTTTTAGGATTTAGCATATACAATTTAGGGCTTTATAGGGTTTAGAGCTTCTAATATTTTATATTTAGGGGATTTTGGTGTTTATTTAGGGTTTTTAAGGGTTAACTATTTCTTAGGGTTTTATGATTTATGGCTTATAGTTTTTTTTTGTGTGTTTTTAGGTATAGAATTACAGATTATTAGGATTTAGAGTTTAAGGCTTAGGGTTTTTTTTTGTGTGTTTTTAGGTTTAGGGTTTACGCATTTTTAGGATTTAAGGTTTAGAGCTTTGGGTTTTGTAGGGATTTTAAATGGTTTTTAGGGTTTATAAGATTTAGGGTTTCTTAAGGTTTATAAGATTTAGGGTTTCTTAGGGTTTTAGGTTTAGGATTTAGGTTTTTTTTTGTGTTTTTAGGGGTTAGCATATATGATTTAGGGCTTTATAGGGTTAGAGGTTAGAGTTTTTTTGGTTTAGGGATTTTTGGGGTTTTAAGGGTTAAGTGTTTCTTAGGGTTTATTTTAGGGTTTATCAGATTTAAGGTTTAAGGTTTCTTAGGGTTTAGGGTTCAAGGCTTAGGATTTTTTTTGTGATTTTTAGGTTGAGGGTTCACGAATCTTTAAGATTTAAGGTTTAGAGCTTAGGGTTTTGTAGGGGTTTTGAATGTTTTTAGGGGTTGTTTTAGGGTTTATAGGATTTAGGGTTTCTTAAGGTCTAGGGATTAGGGTTTCTCAGGGTTTTAGGTTTAGGGTTTAGGGTTTTAGGTTAGGGTTTAGGGTTTAGGGTTTTAGGTTAGGGTTTAGGGTTTAGGTTTAGGGTCTTATCTAGGTTTTTAGGGTTTAGGGCTTTGGGTTTTTTTAGGTTAATGTTTTTTTAGGGTTTTATAGGTTTAGAGTTTAGAGTTTAGGGTTTTTTTTGTTTTTAAAACTTTAGAATATACAATTAATTAGGGTTTTATAGGGATTAGATCTTAGAGATTTTAGATATGTGGTTTTTAGGGTTGAGGGTTTATGGGGTAAGTTTTTTTTTTTGTGTTTTTTATGTTTAGGGTTACGGATTTTTAGGATTTAGGGTTTAGAGCTAAGGGTTTTGTAGGGGTTTTAAGGTTTATTTTAGGGTTTCTTAAGGTTTAAGGTTTAGGGTTTCTTAGGGTTTTAGGCTTAGAATTTAGGGAGTGTTTAGGTTTTGGGCTTTGGGATTTTTTGTGTTAAGGATTTTTAGGATTTTATAGATTTAGGGTTTAGGGCTTTGGGTTTTTTGTGTAAGTTTTTTAGGATTTTATAGATTTAGGGTTTAGGGCTTTGGGTTTTTTGTGTATGTTTTTTTGGGTTTAGCATATACGATTTAGGGCTTTATAGGGTTTAGAGCTTAGAGTTTTTTAAGTTTAGGGGTTTTTGGGGTTTTAAGGGTTAAATGTTTCTTAGGGTTTTTAGAGTTTAGGGGTTTGGGTTTTTTATGTTTTTTTTAGGATTCAGTGTCTAGAGCTTAGGATTGTGTAGGACTTTTAAATGGATTTGAGGTTTATTTTATGTTTTATAGGATTCAGGGTTCTTAAGCTTAGGGTTTAGGGTTTCTTAGGGTTTTAGGTTTAGGTTAAAGGTTTGGGTTTTTTAGGTTTAGGTTTTTTAGGGTTTTATAGGTCTAGGGTTTAGGGCTTAGGGTTTTTCTTGGATTTTTTAGGGTTTAGCATATACGATTTAGGGCTTAAAAGGGTTTAGGGCTTAGACTTTTTTTAGGTTTAGGGGTTTTGGGTTAGTCAGGGTTAAGTGTTTCTTAGGTTTTTTTTAGTGTTTAAGGTTTAGGGCCTAGGGTTTTTTTTTAGTGTTTAAGGTTTAGGGACTAAGGTTTATAGGGTTTAGATCTTAGAGATTTTAGGTTTGGGGGTTTTAGGGTTTTTTAGGGTTTAGGGTTAAGTGTTTCTTAGGGTTTAGGGTTTATGGCTTAGGTTTTTTTTGTGTTTTTTAGGTTTAGGGCTACATATTTTTAGGATTTTAGGGTTTAGAGCTAAGGTTTTGTAGGGGTTTTAGGGTTTATTTTAGGGTCTATAGGATTTAGGGTTTCTTAAGGTTTAAGGTTTAGGGTTTCTTAGGGTTTTGGGTTTAGAATTTAGGGGGGTTTTTTAGGTTTTTGGGCTTTGGGTTTTTTGGGTTAAGGGATTTTAGAATTTAAATGGTTTTTAGTGTTTATTTCAGGGTTTATAGGACTTAGGGTTTCTTAAGGTTTAGGGTTAAGGGTTTCTTAGGGTTTTAGGTTTAAGAAATAGGGTTTTAGGTTAGGGTTTAGGGTTAATAGCTTAGGGATTTTTTAGGTTTATGGTTTTAGGTTATTGTTTTTATCTAGTTATTAGGGTTTAGGGATTAGGGTTTTTTGGATTAAGATTTTTAGGGTTTTAGGGTTTAGGGCTTAGGGTTTTTTATTGTGTTTTAGGGTTACACATATACAATTTAGGGCTTCATAAGGTTTAGAGCTTGGAGTTTTTAGTGGTTTTGGGGTTTTTTAGTGTTTTGTAGGGTTTTTAAGGTTAAAGTGTTTCTTAAGATTTTTTAGGGTTTAGGGTTTAGGGTTTAGCGTGTTTTTTTGTGTTTTTTTAGGTTTAGGGTTCACAGATTTTTAGGATTTAGGGTTAAGAGCTTAGGGGTTTTTAATTGGTTTTTAGGGTTTATTTTAAGGTTTATAGGATTTAGGGTTTCTTAGGGTTTTAGCATATACGATTTGGGGCTTTATAGGTTTTAGAGCTTAGAGTTTTTTTAAGGGTTAAGAGTTTCTTAGGATTTTTTAGAATTTAGGGTTTAGGGCTTAGATTTTTTTGTGTTTTTAGGTTTAGGGTTTACAGATTTTTTGGATTTAAGGTTTAGAGCTTAGAGTTTTGTAGGGGTTTTAAATGGTTTTTAGGGTATTTTAAGGGATTATTGGATGTTGGGTGTCTAAAGGTTTATGGTTTAGGGTTTCTTAGGGTTTTAGGATTAGAATTTACGGTTTTAGGTTAGGATTTAGGGTTTATGGTTTAGGGCTTAGGGTTTTTTGAGGTTTCGGGATTTAGGATAAGGGTTTTATATATCTAGGTTTTTAGGGTTTCTTGAGTTAAGGTTTTTCAGGGTTTTATTGGTTTAGGGTTTTGGGCTTTGGGTTTGTATGTTTATTTTTAGGATTTTGCTTATACGATTTAGGGTTTTAT